TAGTCACTTCTCATCGCAGTTGCCGGGATTTGAACTCGGAACCTAACCCTTGTGACACTCCCTCGCTACCTGCAGTTGAGGTGCATCCACCGGTTTTGTACACAGCCAAGCTTGTAGTTGAATGTGATGATATTGAATTGGTGGTGGGTGGTCACTAAGCTATAGTTTTACTTAAATGGTGGTCATCACAAGATTAAGTTTCTCCATAAAATGGTCAATATATTAATGAGTTTTTTCAAAGATATTACTCACATAAAATTTATTTATAAAAATATGACTAATAATTAATACTACGTATAATATGGTCTTATAGTCACCTAAGTATAAAATTTGAACATAAATTATTATAACTAGCTAATTAAGTTAATATTATACTCGTAGTACTATATTTAGGATTGACATTTTTTGTAAACAACATTTATTTTAGTCTCATATATGTAAATATTTCTAAATTACTAATTTGAAGTCACATTACTTGCACTACAAAAAGAAGTGTTAAATCCGTGTCAATCCCGTAATTATTTTGTAGTGTAGTCACCGAAAAAGGATTGTCTATAATGTTGGACCAATTGAAGAGAGACATGTGCCCAAGTAATCATCTAATACATAGTATATCACTTTTTCACAGAATCAGTAACAACTTTTTTTCATATTCTTTAGCGATCAAGTTGGAGAAAAAAAGATGTTTAATAACCATATCTGCAAGCAAAGTATATTTTTTAAAGACTAGTTACTTTATAACTTGCACACCAGTAACACGTTTTAGTTTGAGTTGTCAGTAAGATTTTATCTGGTTCATATTACACGATACTCATGCAGTTATCACAATGAGACAAAAAAATCTTTTTAAATTAATTTATAAGATTTAAATCTTTTATTTCTCTTTTTTATTGTTGTTATCAATTAATGTAAACCAAAAATTTGAAACAAGAATGAAACTTAGCTAGGCAAGCACTAAAAACTTATGTAACTTTCATTTATTCGAGTACTACTACTACTATTATTATTATTATCGTCATCATTATCATTGTTATTATTATTAGTTATAGTATCATTTTTAATTACTAATATTATTACTACCAAAGAAGATTGATTTGTTTTAAATATTACTCAAATAAAATACTCCATATACCAAAGAAAATGTGAGTAAAGCTAGCTAGTAGCTACTATGAGTCTATATCATCATGATGGTCCTTAATTAGGTTATATTTAACTTATAAAGCTTCACTTCTTACGTCGATTCTTTAACCGACGTCAAATCTATCTTCTACCTTTTACGTCTCTTACTTACACGTCTCTTGGAAAACCGACGTGATCACTTTTATAGTAATGTTCATTCATGTATTGTTGTGAGTTGTGACCCCTAGGGTTCTATGAAAATATACTTCATCATATCATAATCAGTTGATCATCACAATGATATTAAATTGAATACGACTACTATTATATACTCTGTATCGTCTAAGCGTAAAAAGTCGCATCTTTATTGAATACCTTCATTTTGGTCGTATATTCCTTATTATTCATTAATTAAATTAATTATTTTTGTTATAATTAAAATACTATTACTTCCACAAACAAATAATAGCTGTTTTGTGGGGTGAAATCCTACGACTCTCTTAAATTATTATTAGAATAGGACGTGCCGCACAGTTTTTTGGTTCCTTAAGCAGTATCTAAGCAATTTAGTCAACGCCAGTAATTAAAGAAAACCAATGAGTCCAAGCTTGGATTATTGCATGGTGCATGCATTATCGATATACGGACTAGAAACTAACTGGAAATATTGTCGTGTTTTGTCCACATACTGACAGAGCTCATCGGTATGTACTGCCCCTATAAAAAAAAAATATAATCAAGGTGTCAGGGTTTACGCTCTCATAATTCTGTAGTCTATGAACTACCCTCCAAAGCCTCTAGACAGTTAAATCCGGATCTGATCATAGTCAGCCTCGTCAGTACTGGCTCCAAAGGACGAATCCAGCAGGACTTACATCACCTTTCAGGCTGCTCCTCCCACCACATGAACCCGCTACCTTCATTACCATCCTTTCTCTTCTCAGCCGCTGAGCAACTCCGTGAAGGTATGAAGAATAATTGGGAGCAACTGAGTAAGACCTCCCTCATATCTACTTGGTGGAATTGAACCCTACTGCCCCTATAACAATACTGAATGTTGTAGTTTTTCGTAGTAGGGCATTTAAAATTAAATAATTGAAACATTATTGTACATATATACTCTAATCTAAATGAATTCAAAAAATTTAGAGGACAAAAACAAAACTGATTAAATGGAAGTAGATTATTTGGGTGTTACAGCCGGGCAGGTCAAATCAAGTATTGGTCTCTCATTTTCCGAATAGCTGTTCAATGCCATGTGACATTTGTACATTAATATGTTGTGGAGTACGTGATTGAAAATAATGTTTATGCATTGTCAACTTAAATAATAGAGCTTCAAAAGTAGAGACACCGTTCTATAGTGGATAAAATTGAGGTTTGTATGGCTAGAAAAAGTAGCGGTACTATTAAAAATAAGTGTAGCCAAGTATGTCTCATCTAATCATCTTTCACATACTCGGTATTGGCAAGATTATCTCATCTTTCATTTTTCGTTCTGTCCTATTAGGATTGTCACAAAACAAATTTATCAAAGTTTGTGTGATTCTAAATATTTTTACTTTATTTTTTTACTTTATCAATTTTAGCTTGAAAAGTTACTTCAACATTAATTACTTTTTCTTATTATTACACAATTCAGCGTGTGAAATGAAAGTTTAAGTGTTTGATGAAAAAATTAGTGATAAATCGAAAAAATGAATCACGAGAACGGGCTCTAAAATTAATGTTCGTTAATACCAACAAAGGAAAAAATTAGTATCTTGCTGATGGTACAAACATGAAATGGGTCAGATAAAAATTAAATACGCCGGTTTAGGATCCTCTGTTGCACGGAAGAGTCCCTTACGCATCCGACGGCCGGGCAGCAGCGAGGACAGCCTCGAGATCGGCGAAAGAGTGGACCCCAAGATCTCCGGCCGTTAAATTTTCGATTGGACGTCTGTGAAGAAGCAAGGCAGAGGCTCCGGATCCATAAAAATACACAGTGATGCATGATTCAAATAAAACTATTATTTTGAGAGGAAAAAATCGCTTATAATATTATTAGGATTTAGATCGTTAAAACAAATTCAAAGAGACTAACACAGACAACAACTATCCGTAAGCAACTAGCACTATCAACCCTACGGCTACACATAGAAACGATCACCCTAAAAGAGCAAATGACACTATATATGTACACTACCTACATACTCCTTAGAATGACGATAAGAGATACATAGGAAAATCAAACACCTCCTAATCTAACTATAAAATTATCTTGATCATATGTTGAATTGATATAAAGGGTAGAATCGCACGGTGACACTTTGGTAATAAAATTAAACTTTTAGTAACTAAAAAGATCTTAAAAAATGTTTAGCTATTCGATAAAAAATTGTTTGTTTGATTTAGTTGTGTTTGGTATAACAAGCTATTGTGACTAATTAATGTTAATAGCTAAAGGCTTTCTCCCATATGATACATGTTGTAGATTCTCAAAGAAAATCTTTTATTTTGAGGAAACTTTTAATAATTGTAATACCAACAAATTAACTAGAATTTTTTTAAAACAGTGTCATCTAATGAATTTTGAGATCACGGTTCCAAATGTAAAATTGAGACCCCACATTAATATAACAAAATTAAAAATAAAACATTTCAATCCAAATATATACTTATGCTCGAATCAATTTAATACTCATTAAATTATGTAATAAAAAATTCAAAATTTACTTAATCACTACTAGAAAAACAGCTTACAGTGACACTTGTTCAGTGACACTATGATGTCGCTAATACATTTACGACACTTACATATCACTAACTAATGACATTAATACATCAACACATAATAGTGACACTTTGAGCTGAATTTATAATTTAATTTTAGTTTTTAAAATTTCCTAAACCTAACACATTTATACCATTGTTACATTCTACTTCCTTCACCTCCGATCCCCCTCCCCTTTTCTCTCTTCCTTCCAGACTTATTTTACATCTGCTTACGATTCCCCTTCTTTTTACGAGCCCTAGCTCCTCAACCAATGAAGACGCCCCGTCACAGGCAGGATGAAGACGATGCCGATGCTGCTCCGGACGACTTCGACGAAGAAGCCATCGCCGCTGCTCCTGATGACTTCAACGAAGATGACGCCGCAGATGCTCGTGACTACTTCGACGAAGATGATGTCGGTGCTGCTCCCGATGACCGCTGCTGCTCCCGATGACCGCTGCTGCTCCTGATGACCGCTGCTGCTCCAGACGACTTCGACTCGAGTTCTTCTTGGATTCACCGATTCTCCGATTCTTCTTGGACTTGGGTTCTCTCAGATTCATCTCTGGCCTGACCAGTTAATCACCAGATTTCGTATCTCTTTAGCTTTCCTTTATAGATTTTTACACTTTCCTTATGCATTCAAGGTTTTTTTAGTTTGATTTAGCTTCTGAAATTCTTGCCCTAATGATTACAATTTCTGATGTTGTTGACTTCTCATACCATTTTCTATTGGATTTTGAATGTTATTAAATTTATAAAGACCAATTATGATTTTAAAATTCAAATTCTAATAGATTACACTTTTGCTTTGAACTTTATGTATGTGTTTTTAATGTCTTTCGTTTATATTTGTTTATTTACCAAATTGTTCTCAAATGGAAATGTGTTCGTGTCTATTTTCCTTAATTTTATATGTAGTGTGTTTTAATTTTGGTTTAGGTTTTGGTACTCTAATGCTGCAGTTTATGCCGTTGTTAGCCCTTGTCTCACAAATTGAATTGGAATTTTGTGTTATATAACATATTTAGTGTATCTAAAATTTATTTAGTGTATCAAAGCATAGTATAGATACATGAACGTTTCAACTAACTGTTTTTAAGATGGCTAATGGCTATCTTATACTCTAACTTAGGAGAAGCTGGGAGTGAGCGCAGACCGTCTGGGAAGATTATCTTCATAGCGGCCACTTCTCTTTTCCAGCGAGGATGAAGTTCAACATTGCAAATCCGACTACGGGTTGCCAGAAGAAGCTAGAGATTGACGATGAACAGAAACTTCGTGCCTTTTATGACAAGAGAATCTCTCAAGAAGTCAGTGGTGATGCTTTAGGAGAGGAGTTTAAGGGATATGTATTCAAGATCATGGCTGGATGTGACAAACAAGGATTTCCCATGAAGCAAGGAGTCTTGACTCCAAACCGTGTTCGCCTTTTACTGTCTAGAGGCACTCCTTGTTTCCGGGGTTATGGAAGGCGTGATGGTGAGAGGAGAAGAAAGCCAGTACGTGGGTGCATTGTCAGTCCTTACCTCTCAGTTCTGAATTTGGTCATTGTGAAGAAAGGTGAAAATGACCTTCCTGGACTAACTGATGTTGAGAAGCCAAGGATGAGGGGTCCTAAAAGAGCTTCAAAGATTAGGAAGCTCTTCAACCTGTCCAAGGAAGATGATGTCAGGAAGTATGTCAACACATACCGCAGGACATTTACCAATAAAAAGGGGAAGGAGGTTAGCAAGGCTCCTAAAATACAGAGGTTACCAATAACTGTTTTTAAGAAGGCTAATGGCTATCTTATACTCTAACTCAATAATTTTCAAGTATGTGCTTAATAATCTGTCTTAGATTTTCATATCAAGGGTTTTTTTCAAGTGCAGTTCTGATTGCTTTTCTCCTGCACAGTCTGGCTAAAGAGCATTCTTTTAATAGTACGTATTTTTCTCGCTTCTTCTTGGACATCTTCTCTTAATGTCTTATACTTCTACTACATGTGGAGCGATCGGTATTCATGGCCGTATGTAACAGTAGCATGTCTAGCTATATAATATAAATGACTATATGTATTTGCAATGTGTTTATTCGTAGTTTTATGGCTATTTGTGATTATATGTTTCTGCCCATATGCTTCTAATATGTTATAATGTTTTGCTGATGGTAGGGATTGCATCTTCATAAGAGGGAGAACATATGGAGTTAACAAGCTTAAGAAATGAGTATTTGCAGGTGTGTATTTTCTCTCTTTGACCCTCAAATGTCACTTAGGGAACATTTTAGTGCTCTCTATTTCCTGAGCAGAAGGCGAACTTTGAGGACTCTTATTTTGTTCATTAACAGAGTCTGCTGATTCCTCCAGGTGTGTTCTTAGCTTTGCTCATGGTCTGGCTGAAGTCATGGGTTTTGATCTCTGAATTTGTAAATTTCTCTCAAAGCTATTCCTCCTTGAAAAAAGTTATTGTTGTTAGTCTTGTCCCTTGGTTTCAAAACTCTGTTGGCATATATGAATTGCTATCCATGGATGTATCGCATATCCAGCCTTATATTTTCAAAATTGTCAATTTTCTTATTTCTTTTTTCAGAAAATGAATTGCTATTCCAGACAATAAGTTGGTAAAATGGATAGATTCATTGCATTTAAAAAGTAAGCATGTTTATATGGTACCTTTTTTATCTGCTTTCTTTTCTTCTGAATGGATAACTAATTTCCACTGTCACAAGAAGGTGTAGCTAGATAGTAACCCTTTGTTTTTAACATTTTTTTAGTCTTTGTGATTTGTTCCATCGAGTTATGTTTTATTACTACTTTTGTCATTTTTCAGAAGAGGTACTTAGATTTTGAGTACAATGTGAGACTTGCACTGATGATTACAGAAGAGGTACATTGTCTGGTCGCATCCAAACAAGAGGGATTCATCGCAGCTGCTAAGGTTTCCTAGTGACATTGGCAGTATAAGAATGATGGCTTCATTCTGTGTAGAAGAAAATGTGATGTCTACGTATAAGAAGAATGTGAACGCCTTGTGAAGCATGGTGTAAAAGTTGGACTAGTCAGCGTTTGTTTTTGTGTGTTATTTATTGTTTTGGGGATGCCCCTATGAATTATGTACTATGTACATTCACATTTATGTGAGAATTTGAGATATAAATAAAAACTTTTGATTTATGGTTATTTATTAGTATTATATATATATATATATATTGTAATCAATATATCACATGTGTTTTCATAGTACTATGATGCTGAGGTGTCATAAAAATCTATGATGCTGAAGTGTCATTAAATTTTGTGATGTATTAACGTCACAATGTGTTCTTGATGCTTTAATGTCGCTATTTTAGGCGATACATTAGTGTCATAATTTGTTGACACAAAATTGTCCCTGCACTAGTGACACTATATTTAGTGTCGCTAGCCGCCACTTTCCCCGACGCTTTTTAAGTGTCGCAGAAAGTTTCAGCGACACTAAATTAGTGTCACTATAAGCCCTTTTTCTACTAGTGAATGCTTGATTTTAAGTAACGCAACTCATTACTCAAGCAATTTGAGCAATGGATCTATATTTTCTTCCTTATTAACTGTATTTTACTGATTAGTATTAATATATTACTATATAATATTACTATATAATACAAATAAATTCTAAAAATGTTGGGATCCCATAAATCAGGTGTCCTGTTCTGGATAATCGATTTAACCCCTAAAAAAATCTTCTTTGTAAACATTACAAAAAGTAATAGATAGGAAGTTGTGTCTAGAAAACATGGATTACCTAAGTAATAAGAAACCCAAGCGACAAGCTCAGGGGGAGTATGTGCTTATCTACTACTGTATAATATAAAAGCAAAAGAATTACCGATTAATGATAAAAAAAAAAGTTACATCCTCAAAGATCATCTTCTTTAAAAAATCATCTGCAAGTTTTACTTCAGCACAGTTTATCCGAACATCCTCTCTAACATCACACAACTTTATTATTACAAGCCCGTAAGAAAATGATTCTTTTAAGAAAAATACTTTATAAATGAGAATTATTAGCAAAACATAGGTCACAAATGGGCACTTAATTTTATTTTTTTGAAAATTAGTGTTTATTGTTACTATTTTTTTTTATCATTATAATAATGTTCCATCTCTACGCACTGTAAAATCAAATATGAGAGAAAATAATTATTTGAGACTAAAAATCGTGATAATTTTCAAAAACTGATCAAGTTTGAATACTTCCGACTATATAACCAAACACATATGGAACTAATTAATAAAAATAAGTTATCCAATGATATGCCTGCATGCCATATAACATTATATTAGGGAAAAAGATACTTAGTATATCATATTTTGGAAAACACATAAAATTTTATTCATACTTAGGATAGTGTATATATTCATATACATTTATATTCATTACTCCCTTCGTCTCACTTTAAGGATCCCACGCGGTTTACGATATTTGACTACCATAAAGTTAACTGATCCTTGTCATTAATAGAATTATTTTTAATAAATAAAATTTGTATATTCAAAAACTACATTAAAACCGTTACAAAATCTGCAAAAAAATAACTTAAATGTCATTAATTTAAGAATTATGCACGTTGACCGGAAAATAGTGGATGATAACCTTTAAATAAAAGGAAGGGAGTATTATTTAGTCTATACTCCCTCCGTCCCCTTTTAAATGTCCCGGAAGAGGGTGACACGAGTTTTAAGAAAAGTTGGTTTGTGTGGTTGATATTAATAGATAAAGTAAGAATAAAGTAAGAATAAAGTAAGAATAAAGTAAGAATGATTTTGAGCCACACAAACTTTACCAAAAAAGGTATGAGACAATTAAATAGGGACATCCCAATATGGTAAAATGGGACATTTAAAAGGGGACGGAGGGAGTATTATTTAGGATGATCTTCTACCCGTGCATTTGAAGTACTAGTTACTTTAAACGAACAGTGAAGGCGTAAACATAAAAGATGAGCTCCTTCTCCGAAGAAGAAAGCTGAAAACAAATGAAGTTTCATTGTCATGCAGGAAAGAAGTGCGTAATGATTTCTTGGAATAGAATTTTTTATTTCATTCGAAGTTGAAATAATCATATATAATAATTCCGTCATCAGAAAACCCCAAATACTCTTTCCTTTCTCGATGAAAAATCCCAAAAATTGATCAAATGTCTAGATTACACGAAAAGCCCGTTTTCCCCCCTTAAACCGGGTTGTCAGCGCCACCGGAGGATTCGGGTAATCCAAATCGGATTTCCCGACGACCTTATTGGTTCCCGTATCTCGATCGACGCGCCAACCAAGCACGTGAAACTCGTCACCGCGCGTCATTTTGTACGTACCAGACAAATTACTTAACGCAAATAGTCAAAGCAGCCACGCAATCTCCCAAACGCTCCGCTTCGAGCTTCTTTTTTCTTTTCTTACTTGGAATTGATTTTTTTTTTAATTTTTCCATAAAAGTTACAATAGTTTAACTTTCACGTTTGCCAACGTGCAACTTTGATTGTAATAATATTTATTTACGTATTAGTAAATATTAAAAAAGTTAATATATCGGAAATTTACATTAATACAAATTTATTAATATTTTATACATAATATTTTTATTATATATATATATTATTAGAAAATCGTAATCAAAGTAAGGTGTGTGAATAGTGCAGAAATTTCAATGTTGCAACTTTTATGGAATAGAGGAAGTAATATTTTTATGTGCCGTACAACTTGGTTATTAAATTTTAATTTTAGTTTTGGCTGATTGTCATTTGAATAGGAAATGAGTAAATTGATAGAAGACACTAAGACACATTATATTGTCAAAAGAGGGAATAATCAAATACCACAATTGTTTTGGGACATAAAAGAAAAGAAAAAAGACAATTAGAGGATGTTTGGCAACACTGTTGTTCGGCTTATCAGCCATTATTTTCACCAAATACGTAACTTTTTCTTTCGCTCGCTGAATTGTGTAATAAGCAGAAAAAGTAAGGTTATAGTTACTTTTCTGGCTGTATTGGTTGAATTTACTGTAGATGATCATTTTTGCTATTTTACATATAATTTTATCTTTATTTTATTAAGAAAATATATTTTAAAAATAATTTTTTTTAAATCAGCAGAATCAGCCAATATAGCCACTCCAACCAAAACTTTATATATTTCCGCAAAAGAATAAGACTCTTATTCTGATGGGGATTTGAAAGTCGTATTTTGGGACAATTATTTTGATATCTAGTTTCATACTAAAAAATTAAATTGGACCATATTTCAGGATTTGAATTTCAACAATTTTAGCCCATTTGATTATTCTAATTTGCGGTAATTTCAGTATTATCAAACCTGTACACCTCAAACAAAATAATTTGAAGGAGAAAATGTAGTAATAAACTAAATGGAATTTGCCCTAAATAGGAGTAAAATAATTTTGAAATTCCAAAATAAGAGTTTCATGTTTTTATTCTCTAGGGGTAATTCTGCCAAGTTTGAAAAAAAATGTCATGTTTAAACCTAGTTATGTCACACTTGGAATAAATTTACCACTATTCGGGGAATAAAAAACATGTAGTCCTATTTTGGAATTTCAAAACTTTTTACTCCTATTTAGGGAATTCTTTGTGAAGTAAATACTGTGCGCAAGAGTATTCCATTATGATTTACAGGTAACACACTAAAACAAAGTTCAATGATATTTCTAAATTTAAAAAACACATTCAATTACTTTTTACTAGTGTAACACCCGGGGGCATGCCCCGGTAGTGACACTTT